CGGTGTGGCGGTGAATCCACCCAGTGCGGCTGCTATGGATGAGCAAAGCCAGGACGGTTCGGCGCCTTCGAGCCTACGTAAGAGTGCTCGATATCGGCAATACCTGGGATACGAGAGCACCACCACTTTCGTTTGAGAACTATAGTCCGATTTTCGCGTGTTGTGATTGCTTTCGTACTCCTTCTGTTGCTTATCGACGTCCGAAAAATCAATGCCAGGATCGGTGAGCACCTGCGGTTGAGGTATCTCATACCTTAACGGGCTATTCTCCGGAGACGACGTTGGGGTCGGTGGGTAAGATACTTCCCGACCCCATGACCATTCCAATGCAGGCGATAACCACGTAACGAGATCATGAACACGCACCACAACCTTTTCAGATATTGTCAGCACTTCATCCTGCAATCAGATAAGTATTTTTTGTTTTATTTTTTATGTCGATATTTTTTTTACAAATACATTATATTTTTTACATATCCGATAAAAAAGTAAAATAAAAAAAATTTTTTAAAGAAGAATATGAAGAATAATTTTAAAATAGATAAATTATTAAATGATTTTTCGAATTGAATTGACTTTTTTTATCATGGATAAAAATAATCGCATATCGAAAATGAATTGTTATCCGCGTTATATCATTAACTTATCATTTAAGCAATCTTCTTTCTTATTAACTAAATTTTTTCTTTAAAGTTTTACAGATTTTATAAATACATACCTATCTCTTTGCAAAACTTTTGTACATGTATTATATTTTTAAAAGTAGAACAAAAAGTTATCGACATGTTTTATCATGATTTATCTTTCTCAAAATACAACTTTTCTTTGTTTTTCTTTAAAATTTCCAGTCATGTTAAAATAATATTTCTATATTGTTAATTAAATTACAGGTCAAATTAAAAATAAGATATTAAGAAAAACAAAAATAAAAAAGAAGATAATCAATTTCAATGGAATTTACTTTGAAGATTTTCTATTGACTCAGGAGGAAGTAGGTATCTTTCTTACCAGTCTGTTCCATTTTCGATATTATTTTACCGACCTTTCATCGACAGGTGGAGACACGGTCAAGTCTCAGCGCTACTTAAACTCGTAATCTGACCCATCCTCTACGTACATAGATCTACTTGTCGTGTATAAAGCTAAAATACCTATGTGCTCGTTATGTATACACATAATCCAGCCAACGTAACTCGTGGTTTATGTTGTACCTCGAGTGCATCGTTACCTACTCCGCTTCAGCGATAATTTAATTGTCCGTTGATGCCAGCGGCGACGTCATTTTCACAAAGTTTGACCTAACTTTTGGACCTGGTGATTTGTGGAATTTAATTCAACTGTAAGTTATTGCTTCCCGTTAAAATTTAAAATATAGAAGAATGAATTTAAAAAAAGTAAAAATTTTTCAAATTCAAAATAGAATAATATTCAAACATAATTACAATTTTTTACATGATGGTGTAATAAATGACAGTAATAAATGCAATTTGCGCATTTCGTTTATCTCCAAGATCGAATAATATTCGTAATGAGTCACACCAAACATTGGTGTGAAATTTATTACTGGGACGTTGAATGTGCATAAATCAATTAAGAAATGTAAACATGCTAAGTATTAGCACTTTTCATCGGTTCACGACTTTTGGACAAAGATACGAGGTAAGCTCGAACAATAAAAAACAGAGAACGCGAATAAAAACTTGATCATTTAATAAATACGAGTATAAACAATTTGAGGTTATAAAACAGTCAGAATGTAAACGTAATTTATTTATATAATACGAAATATATTGTTATATTTATTTAATTAACATCAACCGCTTGTCCACGATGTTTCTCCGCAATTAACTTATATAACTACAAGATTCGTTAGCGGCAAATCGAATCGTCCGGAAAGAATTGAGATTCAACGAGGGGCAATTGTGAGATGCACTTGAACCAGTGGCTCTGCGAGTAAATCCGTTAACCCGCGGCGAAAAGAGCCTTGAGCCAAGTAAAATGGCCGGGTTTTAACCCCTTGCACTTCAACTGCCAGTCGAGTTAGCTATAAAATGTTGAACGTTTCAATGGAACTAAATTTGATAATATTTTTCTTTTTTATCTCAATACGGAGGATACATTTTATAATTTATTTATTTATATAAATAATCTTTTTATTTCATTTAATCATAATTGAAAACAAAATTTAAATTCATTTATTTATCTATGCCATAATATAACATTCTATTTAGTTTGGAAGTCCTATAGTTCCTGTTATACTTTCATCTTTTAACTCCGTGCTCATCCATACCCTCCTTCAATCCCGCCACTTCACTTCTTTCTTTACTCTTCTTTTCCTTTTTTTTCCCCCCCCCCTCT